ACAGCCTTTTGCTGTCAATGCAGATGAACAACTTCAAAAACAAATACTAGGAATGTCAGACATTTGGGAGTGATGAAGGCTAGAAAAGCTGAAAGGTACTACCTGTGGCCCCTGATCTACTCCAGGGACTAAAGGGTTTCCCAGAACACGTTTTTTGGCTCTCTCCACACTCTTACATACAAATTCTTCATAAATTGACTCCTCTACAAATACTCTGGATCCAGCTAGGCAGCACTGGCCCTGATTGAAAAACAGACCATGGTGTGCTTGTTCAACCGCGTGGTCCACTGCATTAACAGAAAACAAAACACGTCTTAAAACAACTCTAACAAAACCTTTCTTAGTTTGATCCCACACTTCAGCAGTCTAAAAAGCAAGCATCCACACAAGATCATGTGTTACATGGTGTGCATAAGATACACTCTCTAAGTGACAATATTAACTTAGTACTATTAATCATAGCAAATTATTGAGGGTGAAAACAATATGTTTTCAACTAATATAAGACATCAAATGACATGTGAAAGACATTTGGTGTACTATGGCATTCTATAATAACCATGACCCTATGTAAACTCTGTAAGGAGCTCTAACAAGATAAGAACATGCTAAGTTCAAAGGTCTTACATAGTAAACACATGAGCCTGATCAAGATCAGTGTAAAGTAACATTGTGCCAGATAAATAATTTTACTGGTTTTAAAGAAGAAGATTTTTGAAAATCCCACAGATTAAAAAAAACTCATACTGTATATGACCCTAAATCATCTGACTGTCACGATTATAGTTCCCCCTCCTTAAGGGTGCTCCAGCCCTTTCACTTAAGACTTTATTCTCTGCACCTTTCCCTTTCCCAGCCCACCTTAAAAGCCAGGCGCTGACGCTCATCCGTTCTCTGCATCTGATTTCCGTATCGTGCGAGTCCGGGACCTGGAAGCGCCTGGTCCCGTTAAGGTTTTAATCTCGGTTCCCGTTCCTGTTCCCTGTCTGCCGGTTCCAACCCGGCCTTCGTGGTTTTAATTCCTTGTTCTGATGGATCTCCTGGTTTTGGACTTACCCTTGTGTTTTGGATACTCTAAGGATTACACTTTTGGATTGTTCGCCTCGGCCACACCTCCCCCGTGCACCAGCGCACCTTGGACACGCCCCCCTGTCTTCAGCCCCGTATTCCTGCATGACGTTTCCCCAGTGTTTCCCCACTCCGTCGGCTTGTGTCGTCCACATAGGGTCCGGAAAGAACTGTTCGTTACACTGACCTATTGGTGTAATTTTTAAACTCTGACTCAACTCACCCTTGCTTTCACAATTAAGCCGGATTGAATGTGTTTTTGTACAGGGCGTGTATTTTACAGACATTTAAAAGTTCTGGTAGAAACAAATCTAGATATTAACAATAAGCAAAATTAAAAACAAGCACACCAACAACTTACAGTCAGCATCTGCAAACACAATGTTAGGATTTTTGCCTCCCAGTTCCAGTGTCACTCGTTTTAAGTTACTGTTCCCCGCAGCTGTTTTAATGGTCTTCCCAACCTGCAACATAAATATAAGGAGTATTTTCTCAACAGAATTTACAGCTAAATAATAAATATTTTCATCATGAATCTCACATTTAAACTTTGAATTACAAAGTCATGTTTCAAAGTGTTTTTTTCCCCCAAAAACTGAGCTCCACTATTAATTACACGTTTTGGGATAAGTCTTGGTGGTGCCCAATATACAAATTGACATTTTTCACTGGTGAAGAAATATTTCCATATGGACATAAAATAGAACTGAACTGCATGACTGCACAAGACTGAAAATACAAATTTAAGCGATATCACACACAAGAAGGCAACAACTAACAACTCGTTTTGTTGTGTGTGGATTCACATGGTTTGTGTGTATTGCCAAACGTGAATGTTGATTTTATGTAACCACACTGAGCAGCAAACTATAGAACCTTTTGCGAAAGTTAAAAAAAGGGAAAGAAAGGTGAATGATGTACCTCAGTTGAACCAGTAAATGCCACCTTGTCTATTTCCATGTGGTTGGCTATTGCAGCTCCTGCTGTAGGCCCATACCCAGGCACAATATTTACTACACCTTGAGGAAAACCAGCCTGCATTCAAACACATTTTAACCAAAAAAGGTTTTAACATCTGTTCAAATTGTACAATATAAAAATGGGTTTTAGAGCTACGGATTTAGCAACACAACAGAAACAAATATTGGGAAGCACACTGTTTTAGTTTATTTCATTAGAAAAGAAAAACACACTCTTCACCTCTTTAATTAATGCTGCCATGTGCAGAGCAGAGAGTGGAGTTTGTTCTGCTGGCTTCATGATAATTGTATTACCGCAACACAGAGCAGGAGCGATCTTCCATGCAAACATCAACAGAGGGAAGTTCCACTGCAAAAAAAGAACACCCTACTTCAAAGAGACCTCAGACTTCATTATTATCATCACCTGGGGGGAATTTGAGTCCAGCACAACAACACAACATAATAGTCATCACGAACAAATAGGTCAGGACAGACAATATATCAGTAACATATCCTATGAAAACCATTATAATATAAAAGACTAAATGATTTTACACTATTCAAAAGTGAGAAAAGCAGAGAGCATTAATGAATTCCTAGACCTATTACTCTTAAACCTTAAGCCTCCCAAATGGGAGAGTTGGAGGTGGTGGAGGTACCATGCTCTCCATAATTCTGATGGCTCTCTTTAGACACCTTTGCTTATAGAGTGAACTTATGTTGATCTGATTTACCCCAATGTTTTTGTTACTTATGTTCACTATTTCACCCAACTTATCACAACTTTCAGTACTGATGTTATCAAACCAAAAGTTAGACTTGTATGTCAAGACACTTTCAATTAAAAATTTACAGGACAAAAATATATAGGTTCTGTCTATTTTAAAGATGTTACACTTCCTTAAAAAGGAGTTCTCCACTTTAAAGAGCCATTTCTAGCCATTGTTACTAACAATGTAAGCCATTTTCATAAACGGACTGAAAATATTAAATTTTTATTTATGACCAGTCTGAAATACTTGTAATTCAACAACATTTACAGTCTGGCCAGTGTGACTACATTTTCCCCAAACTCAGTCGTGAGTTCTGAAAATCAGAAATCAGTAATGAGAACAGCACCCTGACTGAAAGAATAAGGGTGATGGAACCTCAACTTACTATTGTGAAGAATGAGCTAGGGAGCTGCTACAAGGGCGTAGATTGGGTGGTGGGAAGGGTACAGAAGTGATGAGCAAAGTGAAATTTTGGAGAGATATGTACAGTATACTGTACAGTATATAGCTAGGAGAGTGAACGAGATTAAACTCATCTTGAACGGCTGTTGAGTTCAGAGCCTTAACCTGAACCTGAAGCCTACTAGGCAATGGCTGTCTGCTAAAATAACGTATTTTGTATGGATGGCAATATTAGAATACATTCTGTATAATACAGTATATAGTTTTCTGAATATTGTCTACACTCATACACTACACTAATTCAGGTAATTCTAATGACTTTGAATTCACTTCATTTGTCATTGAGCATTAAAATGTAATAAAAAACGTTAACAAAATATTATTACTTACTGGTATGATCTGACCACATACTCCGATTGGTTCATGTCTAGTAAAAGTAAAATAATCTCCATCTACAAAAAAGAGCATTAATTCAGGACTACAGAAACTTCAGATAAGGAAAAAACAATTTTCTGATACACTGTTGAAACTTTACCTTGAAGTCTTTAACTTTGGAATTATTTAACCTTTACTTTATAAAACTCATTCTTTAAATGTGCACACAGACAGTACTCACCTACTGGAATAGTTTGGCCATGGATTTTGTCAGCCCATCCCCCGTAGTAGCGCAATGTTTTAATTGCAGCAGTCAAATCCACAAAGTAAGCAACCAGGAAAACTTTTCCAGAGTCAATGGCCTCCAAAGTCTAATAACAACAAGAATCTCAATAATTCCAAACAAAACGTATTTTTAACTCACCAATGCATTTATGTTATGGTTTTTACGAAATTCAAGACAGTGAAGTGAATTTATCCAATTAAACGGGATACAATTTAAAATTAAAAAGCTATTGTGAGCAGTTGTTTAAATGGGCTCCAGTACAGTGTTTCTTACGGCCAATATCTGACGGTCTCGTTCAACTAAATCAGCCAATTTGTTCAACAGCTGCCCTCTTTCTGAAGCATCCATTCGGCGCCATGGCGACCCCAGCTGAAATGCCTCTTTAGCAGCTTTCACAGCCTTGTCAATGTCTTCCTGGGAACAAAGCAGGATCCACCAGTTTAAACGAGTCAGTGGGACATACAGGAAATAAAATAAGCTGCACTAATCCATCGTTCAAGTATACCCGAATTATTAGTAACTGCACTCAAATGAAGACATTAATATTATGTTTTATTAGGTGAGAAATTTCCACGATAATGTGTTAAAGACAGTATCCCATTTAAATTATTTTAAGGCAGTTTTTAAAACATAGATTTGTTTAACAATTTTATCCTTTCCCTGTTGTTTTTAGAAACAACCACACATATTTCCTTAAGTATGTATAATTACATACACAAATATATATACAGTACAGTACATACAGTACAAACTTTGCTTTAACTGATTTCGGATTTAACAGACTTTGTATTTAACAGACAAAATCTGCTACAGGGGAATGTGTAAAATCAGAAATACTGGACTTCCACTGTGTTAATGGACACAGTAAAGTGCAAAAATAATAAAACAATAAAAAATTTAAACATTGTTAAACATTTTTTGTACAAAATACCTTTAAATAAGTCTAAAAGGCGTGAATAACAAAGATGCCCTATAGGGAAGGCCAATAGTTAAAGGGTTATGATGGGTGTTGTTTGTGTTTTGTATGCTTCAGAGCTCTTTAAAAACAATCATAAAAAATTCACTAAAATGCTAACAATATGTAAAAACATAAATAAAAATCCGTAAAATGCATAAATAAAAAAACAGGGTAAACATAAATATTACATACAGTAGGATTAAAATTCAAGAATATAAATCATGTCAAATAGGGTTAGGTTAATTGCATGCAGGTATATGTTTGTGTTTCGTATCCCTTCGCTAATATTATACAGTATATTTATGATAAATGAAATAAAGGGTTTGTGCGCTTCATAAAAAGTGATATGATAACACCTCTTCCCCACTATTAGTCTGTTAAACCAATGGTGTACTGTTATTTAAACACATTGCTAAGAAAAGAAGCTGAAACTCAATGTGTTCTTTTCCTGTTTTAAATAAGTGTTTCTAAATGTTTCATATTAATATTACTGAATCTGTATATCGGTGTATTGGTGTTGAAGTAAATAGCTCAATGGCACAATTTAGGTAGACTTTCAAACTGTCAAAGTGCAAGGCATCAGGCTGAAGATCCTGAAAGGAAAAAAAGTTATTTTTTACAGCATCAAAAAAAAACTAAAAAGAAACAAGATAAGAGTAGTTCCAAATGCATTGAATTCAATTTTTGATGCCGTGTAACCTGAGTGGAGCAGAATTATTCATTTAATGTATGGGAGAATGAACACCTGCCTAACCTTTGAGTTAATGCAGGTATGATTAAGGTAATTCAGTTATATGACTTTGATTGATTAAACCTCTCCTACAGTTAACTTGTGGGTAATTAGTTTTGAACGCCAATGTCTGTGAGTATTTAGGCCATAGGTTTATCTTACCTTATGTGTAAGCCTTCAGTATGCTTCTGGTGATGAGAATAAGTAAATAAACTGATTATTCTTATAAAACAAAAATATATTGTTTTCCTTTCCACCCTTACTATTTTCTAGGAAAAAAATTGAAATAAACTTTACCATTTTTTATATGTTCGTCATCTGAGGATACAGTATTAAAAAAAGCCTCTACCACTTATTACTTTGTTTCAGAATCACTTGATTCTGTAATCAATTGACATGACATATTGAAAATCAAAATAATGTTCTTCCTGGAAAACAGTACAACATGTTTCTTTAAAAGAAAATTTTGTATGTATAATATATATATAATGGTAATCTATACAGTATATAATTTAAATGAAAATGTAATGCTTCTTTATTAAGCCAGAAAAGTATTGCCCGTCTTTTAAATGTACTGAAGATTTAATACACAACGATAAAGCACATTTGTTTAATGTACTTATAACTAACCTTATCTCCTTCTTCCACTTCACATATCTTTTCTCCGGTTGCAGGATTATACACCTGGATTTTCCTGTTACAGCTGGACTCATGCCATTCATTGTTTATAAATATCTACAGAACCAAAGACAGAAGATATAAAAAAACAGTGTTGTGCAAATCATCTTCAGTGCTTCCAGATATAACACCAGAACACTTTGTGCACATGTAAAAACCAACTGTTGAAGTTTCACTATCCTTTTGTATAGTGTCCTTGTTGAATCATTTGTTTCTATGAAATATTTGTTGCTCTGATGTGAGCTCAGAATTTAATGTACAGGATAGATCTTTTGTCCACCAAATTAAATATTATAATCCATAATTAAATAAGTAGATTTTTTTACTAGTTATATAATGAAAAATATAACTGGAAAGAGCAGCAGAGTTTGAATACTCTACATTTTGTACAGTTGAAAATGCCAGAAGTGAACAAAATGACATCAGACAAAAGTGAAAATATATTTGCCTTTAGAATGACTATCAGCATTAAAATAAAATACTGAAATTTATACTGCATCAATTCTGCACATAGAAATCATGCTGTCCAAAAAATCTAAATTTCAGTACAGAAACAGAAACGTATATGTACTGCTAAGAAGTGTTTATTTAATGTTTAAATTTAATCATAGATTCTAAATCAAATTTATAACTATTATACAATTTATATTCTGTTGTAACATTGTTTCTGATCTATGCATTGCAGTGCTCCCAGTTTCTTAATTAATTGCATTCAATTACTGAACACGAAATACAACTGAATTTACAAGCAATGAATAACATACTTTTATTTAAATTATTCTCACACCTTCACACATTAAGCACTACCTGGTAATGGAACACCAACAGGAGAGGTTATGACCTTTAGAATACCTTCTTCTCTGAGACTTGAATCTAATAAAGAAGCTTCCAATTAGCCATTGTACTGCCATTGCACTGCTAACTGATAACGGAGATCTCCAAATACTACCTGATAACTCCCTGTCATCCTCCAAGGACGAAGAAGGCTCCATGGCTGAAACGTTGTGTTTTCACTCTTCTCTTTTCAGCCTGGAATAAACCTATTACTTGGTCCTTTGCAGCCTACCCATGCTGATGCAGCTACCCACCTGAACTTATAAAAATAGAAGACTAGAATGTGTGAATTGATCAGTCCAAATCCGCACATTTTACGGAATGACTACTGAGTACAATTTGTCTTTTTAAGCCAGATTTGACTAAAATTCTTCTGAAAATCGAAATACATAAAATCACATAATATCTTAGTTTGTTATTATAAAATATAAGTGCTGTAGCTTGTTCAAAGAAGCTTGTTTTTTATACAAGACTATTCACGATTGACTGTTTCTTCAGATCTTATTTCTATATACTGTAGGTGATCTTATATTTATATTATAATTATTGATTCCATCATCTAACATGCAATGGAAGTCTTACTTATTTGTCTAAATTTATTCCTTTTGATGTACGACTAAACTGAATTAAGTAATTTGAGATTCTTCAGTCCCTTGTTTGGGCCTCTGTTTTGAGGAACTATTGGAGGAGTTGCGTCAGTGTGTTATAAATTACATTTCTTGTTTCCTTAAGTGCAGTCTATAAGATACCTGGATCCTGCCTTTTTAATAATTTTATGCATTATTAAAAACAACAATTGTTTAAATATGAGGTTGCTTCTGAGGACTACTGAAAAAACATTTATGTCATTTCTATAGGCAGGAAAAATATTTATATCCATCCATCAATCAATCAAAAATATATATATACTCATAAAATAAAATAACAATACCTCTAAACTTTTAAATGAGTCAATAGTAGTTATGAATGATTTTTTTTTTTAATTTAAGATTACATAGTTACATTCCACTGTACATAATATTACAGTACAATGTACTAAAATAGCAAAAGGATGAATCTAACCATGTGGGGTTTTCAAAACACAAAATCTTCTAGGGCGTGGACAAACTGAGTACGTTGATAAAAGGTCTGCTTGAACTAGAGGTTAGGTGTGTCAGCCACTACTTCAGGAACAGCATTACACAGCAGACAATAAATAATAATGTAATATAAATGCCTTGCAAACATTTACAGGTAATGGGGACTCCACTCCACCACCCCCACT